ATGGTAGGAATTACCTCACTTGGAATTTGGCCAGCAAATCAAAAGTTAGCAGTAATATCACATCTTTTTGAAAGCTTTCCTGAGATTCTAGAAGGGAAAATTATCTCAGAAAACTGTTTCTACTGAGTAAATTTCAGGAAGAAATGCTCCTCACTGCTTGAAGATGTTCTGTCTCTGGAAAACTGGTAAGACAGAAGCCCGTCCCTGCTGGGAAGCACTCTCTCATCCATGTAAATACATTGCCAATATTGCCCCCAGTGGAAGCAAATAATTACATTCGCAGATTACCGTCGCCTAATGTAAAATTTTACTCAACACATACAGCCTATCAATGATGTTCTGAATGCACAAAAAGGGGCTCATGGATATCTCACTTTCAGACAGTGCCTTAACTTTTTGACTCATTGCAGGTAGTTAAAATGTAAACTTTTTAAGGCCACATTTTAAAACACTTTGCAAACGCTGGACACCTCTACTCGTGAACATCCTGTAAATTGTTCAAGTCCATTTGATCACTAACATGCCAGATCGTCTTCCCCGCTCCCCTAAAACAGAGATGAAAACTGGGCATAATGGCAATTTGGGGGACAAATACCTTCTCTCATCATCTGAAAATTGTCATATGTTGCTTTTTTAAAAAATTAAATTAGTGTTATTTGTTTTCTACCCAGAGACAAGTTATTTTGGTATCACCACAATGGAATTTGCATGAAAATCTGTTTATTGACCCAGTTCCCTAGGGGTACATTTGCCCTAGCACTTGGAGTAAACACCATTTTCATTGCACTAGAAATAGTTCTAATTGGACAAATTGTTATAATTTTAGCAACACCCAAATAAATCAAAGGAATTGGAGGCAGACATGCCACAGAATCTGGATTCAACCACAAACCAGTTCAGTATTTGTGCCTGAAATAAAAGTCTAGTCATATACCATCTACAGATGCTAGAGGAACAGCTACATACCTTGACTGAACTTAGAAAAAAAATTTTTTAATTGTACTTTAAGCTCTGGGATACGCATGCAGAACATGCAGGTTTGTTACATAGGTATACATGTGTCATGGTGGTTTGCTGCACCTATCAACCTGTCATCCAGGTTTTAAGCCCCCAGTGCATTAGGTATTTGGCCTAATTCTCTCCCTCCCCTTGCCCCAAACCCGACAGGCCCCAGTGTGTGATGTTCCCCTCCCTGTGTCCATATGTTCTCATTGTTCAACTCCCACTTACAAGTTTAAAAAAAAAAGAAAGAAAATATGAGTTCAGAGAAACTGGTTGTTCTGAAAACAGCCTATTGAAAAGTTATGTGACTGGTTAACAGTGTGTGTGTGTGTGTGTGTGTGTGTGTGTGTATGAGTTCATCCATTTCATTAACTGGGGTATTTTCACTAATACAGTCTAAACAACAGGAAATGAATTTATAGAGAATCAAACAATAACATTCAGAACTCAAAGTTAAGCATAGTGTAAAATATATCTCAGTGGAAAGCACGTAAGTGTCTAAATTCTCCTTCCAAACCCTTCTATAAACTCTGTATTTTCCATTATCCCTTGACATGTATCATCCTATCCAAGAAGCTGCACCTTTTTACTGCTGTTCACGTACCTCCACGTCATGCCCTACTCTATGCCTTTGTCCTGCTCACTCCCCCTTTCCTCTCATCTTGGATGTCTTTCCCAAATCCTTCTTGTTATCAAACACTCATCTCCTCCACAGAGCTTTGGATGTTACAATGTTAACTTACACACATCTTCTGAACTTCCCTAATTATCTATATCCAAATTTAGCATTTAATCATAGAACTCTCCTCTCTGATTACATATATGTTTGTGTGTACCTTTTTTTCCCTCAACCAAATCACATGATTTAAAGGTAACACTGGTCTTTAATGCCTGTCCTTAAAGTTTCCATCAAGATCCTACTCTGCATTTAATCTCTTTCACTAGTTATCCCTTCTCTTTTCTTTTTTTGAAAACATGCTTAAATGTGCCCTATCCTGAAGAAATCTCCTCAATTCTCAAGCTCTCCCACCATATCTACTTTCTTTCCCTCAAAACTTCTTGAAACAGCATCCCTTCCTCCACTTCTATTCTGTTCTCTCTCAACCCCTCCAATTTGGTTACCCAAGCACACCCTTCTCTCTCAGCCACAGATCCCTGCAGCATTGAATCCTCATGCACCGTCTTTCTCCTGGAGACTGGGACAACCTTGACTCCCGGATCATCTCCTTCCCCCAAGCCCAGCATTCTCTGTGTTCTTTCCTGGTTCCTGCCCTTGAATTCTCAGTCATCACTCCTCATCTTTCCTCAGTCTCCCATGGCAATTGCATCTCTGCTTTTGTCTTTAACTTCGAAATCTCCAAGATTTCCTAATCTCAAATTTTAGTGAACTCTCTGTGGGGTCCCAGACCTTATGCTGCCACCTGCTGGCCAGTTCCATGGGGCTATCTCAGAACAAAATTCAAGTTTATTCCCAAACACCTAACCATTCTATTTACTTTATTTTTCCTCCGTTAACTATTCACATCACCAGTTTCCTAGACCTCCCTGATAGAGGTTTAACATCAGCATCCTCCATGACTTAACGATCTTCGCCCCCAGCATCAACCACTCAGCGTGTACTATAAATATAACGCTACCTACCAGAGCGTCTGTCCTCTGTGTTACATCCCTACCTAGCTCTTTTTTTTTTTTTTTTTTCGTGACCCCGTCTCACTTTGTCGCCCAGGCTGGAGTGCAGTGGCGCGATCTCGGCTCACTGCAACCTCCACCTCCCGGGTTCAAGCAATTCTCCTGCCTCAACCTCCCAAGCAGCTGGGACTACAGGTGCCCGCCACCACGCCGGGCTAATTTTTTGTGTTTTTAGTAGAGACGGATTTTCACCATGTTGCCTAGGCTGGTCTCAAACTCCTGAGCTCAGGCAATCCGCCCACCTCGGCCTCCCAAAGTGCTGGGATTACAGGCGTGCACCACCGTGCCCGGCCCCTAGTTAGCTCTTCTTAGACCATGACTGCCTGTCCCCAGCATACTGGATGAGACCTCACTGACCTGCCCCCATTTTCTCCCCTGAACCCCAATCCTCCTGACACTTCTGCCAGGCAAATCTTCTTGAACCAAGTGTCTGAGCAATTCTCTAGATGAAGAGCCTCAAGACATTGTGTCCTGCTGGTAGAATAAAGCCCAAATTCCTTAACTCTGGAACTTCTAGAAAGAACTTCAAGGCCGTGCATGACCTGGCTGCAGACTATCACCATAGCCTCGGTTGTCATCACGCTTCCTCTCGCAATATTCACTCTAGCTCCAACCTCCCTGAACTTTTTTTTTTTTTTTTTCCTGTACTTTGAACAAAAGAGCCTTACTCCGGCGCTAGAGCTTGTCATGCACTCCTGTCATATCTTTACACAGCTGACCACTTCTTGTCATTCAGGTCTTATCTCAAATGTCACCTCCTCTGGCAAAGTATACTCGGACCACACAATCTAATTACCTTCCTCCTCCTAATACCCAGGTGAGTCTTTCACAGTTAATCTGTTGTATTTCTTCTAAGCACATCTCAGCATCTGAACACATCTGTTCATTTATGTTTATTATAGAGTGTCCGTCTCCGCACACTCAAATGTAAGCCCCATGCGCATGAATATTGCCATTCTTCACTCAACCCAGCTCCTGGAAAAGTGCCTGGCACACGGAAGCCTGAAATCAGATTCCTCCACGGCGTGGCACCCATTTCCACCTCCTTATTCTGTCTCTGTTTATATGTCTGTGCTAGCTTTTAGCACATTACATCTTTTATTTGAACAGCTATTTCCAAAGAAAGTGAGGAGGAGGGAAAGGAGGACATATCAAAGTCTGGGGGTGGCGGGGTACAAGAAGGAATGAATCATTTCTGAAACACACATTCAAGTTGTGTAGTTTTCAGTGTAAAGGATTTGTGCATTTTTGTTAAAATTGACCCTTATGTTGCATGCTTTTGATTCTGCTATAAGAAATATTCTTTAAATTTCATTTTCTATGTGCTAGTTTCTAATATATGTATTAAAAATGAATGTTTATATTGACCTCATAGCTGTAACCTTGCTAAATTTACTACTCAGTTCTAGGTAACTTTTAAAATTATGTGGTTTTGGGCCAGGCACAGTGGCTCATGCCTGTAATCCCAGCACTTTGGGAGGCCGAGGTGGGCAGATCACAAGGTCAGGAGTTTGAGACCAGCCTGGCCAATATGGTGAAACCCCATCTCTACTAAAAATACAAAAATTAGCCGAGCATAGTGGCACGCGCCTGTAGTCCCAGCTAGTCAGGAGGCTGAGGCAGGAGAATCGCTTGAAACCAGAAGGCGAAGGTTGCAGTGAGCCAAGATTGGGCCACTGCACTCCACTCCAGCCTGGGCGAAAGAGCAAAACTCCATCTCAAAAAAAAAAAAAAAAAATGCAGTTTTTCTTATGTGCACAATCATCTGAAAATATAGTTTTAATCATATGTTCAAAAATGCTTATTCAATATCATTATTATTTTTAAGCACAAGCTATGGAAAGTAAGACATCAAAAAATCATGCATGTTTCAGGATAGCTACTATGCAGGATTTAAGAAAATAATAGTATTATAGGGGACAGGGATTAAAATAGTTGAAAAATACTGTCTTATAGCAACTATTATGATGCATATTACATTTTGAACTCTTGGAGAGCAATACTATGTCTTGTTTATTTGTCTGTATTCCAGCAAACCTAATAAAGTACATTTTCCAAAGTAGACAATAAATGTTTTCCAGATATCCCAGTACTATATGCATGGTATATGTTCAATAAAATCTTGCTGATCGATTGAAAGAACCAATAAATTTAAGTTTGTTGAATGATCAGTGTATGCTCAGCCCTGCTGAGACACTATAACAAGAAGACACACAAAAAAATAGAAAATACACTCATTGTTATCCATAAACATCATTTATCAGGTAATGCTGAAACAAATGCACCACAGAAAACATTTGAGTGGTTACCTGTGCATTTCTTTATATGACTGTTCCTTTTCCCATGTGATCCTAACTTGCAGCCAAAATTCTCCTCCCAAAATTCTGCAAACCACACATTTCTTCGATTGTTGGCAAGAGTTCGGCTTCTAAAGTATCGATCAAATCCTATTTCAAAGGAGAAAGGTAAGATTTTAATATTCTTTCAAAATTAAATATTTTCAGAACTTTCTAATGGACATTATATTGTGATCACTGCATGAAAAGAAACACACACACACACATAACAAATGAGAGAAAGCAAGTAGCCCATAAACAAGGCTTCCCTTATGGCAAAAGCCAAGGAGGGTTAATGGACAATCCCCCCGCACCATCGCCACTACTCAAGCACCTGGATCTATGAATAAGTACAACAGGAAAGCCTGGTATCAGTGTCCTTCTTATACCCTCCCCTACTCTACTTCTCCCAGAGGCAGGAACCAGTGACTTCATGCTGAATCCTGAATACTCAGAACCCAACTTAAACTTCCCTCATTCTTTCCTCTTTCCTAGCAGGGATCAATGTTCCAGACTTTCCTGTGTTTCCACATACTTCAAAGTTTCTCTCTCCTATATGTTCTGTTTTCAGCTAATTCAATAAAGCAATCATGTTAATGTCATCTTATGGAGTCATGGGTAAGAGAACTCAAGTGTCAGTTTGCTCAGGTAACCACTTATTGAAGGGAGACCCCCTGGAAATAATGTCTTACTCCAAAGGATAATGTTAAAAGTGAGAATTTCAGTTACTGTCAAACTGATTGGAAAATATGTTTAGAAGATAGACTGCCTCTCAGGATGCTCCAAGTCTTTCCTGTTGCATTTATTTACCCATAGGATAGGCCCAGCATCATATATTCATTTTCTATAAATCAAGCATCTTCCCTCCAACAATGCTATGACTACCATAAATGCCCATGGAAATAAGCAAACTCAAACTCAAAGTGCAATTACTAACATAATGGAAGTAACTGACTACGGCCTTTTTCTTAAAAAAAAATCTAATGGGGACTCTTTCCTAAATACACACACACACTATACAAGTATAATAAATATATGTGTGTATATATATAATACATATGTGTGTCTGTGTGTGTATATATATGCATGTGCATGCTGGTTTAAATACTGGTCTTGACAATTCTGCCACTGAAGCTAAAATTTATATCAAGTCATCAGTAATGAGTGCATTTCCTCATATTATGATACTCCAATTTTGCCTTTGAGTTTAGATCCAACTGCAATGAAACAAATTCTCTATGGTACATTCTTACCATCAATTGATGTTCGTTTGGGCAAAATTGTCACAGCCCCTTCTGCAATCTCCTCTTGCTGATAGACAGGTGCTATTTTGGATCCCCAACTATCTGAGCCAATCCAGAGAAAATGCCCACTTTGGTTTAGTTTTTTTGCTGCTTCCAATATCCTCCTATAGGAATAAAAATAAATAATGCATACCACATGTATTAAAAATACCACAATTATGAATATTACAAGAACAGCTTTGGGAAGTTGTATACACTCAGTAGGTCACTGTTTAACAATTAACATGATCATTCTAACTGCCCACATCTTATCATCTCCTAAAGGCAACATAGCAGAGACTAACTCCAACACATGTTAATTAGCCTTATCCTTAACCTCATTCACATCATTCTGTCTATCACCCTTGTTTGTCTTATCTCATTCAGTCCCCAAGTTTTACTCTGTAGGTATTTCAGATTTACAAACTACGAGGCAGCAGAAGGCAGTCTGTTATTGGAAGGGAATTGCAAGCTTTTATGTTGAACATGAAATATGTTAGAAAGAGGATATGGGACACAGATCTGACCCTACATACAGAAGAAAAGTAATCAGCACCTGATGTCATCCTCATTGGCAAACATAATCACTGCTCGAGCATTAGGTGTTTCTAGCAGGCGTTTGATAATTTTTTCAAATTCTCCAGGTCTTGGTTCACGTGGGATTTTCTGTGACTGAGCAATGCAAACACCACCTATTTAAAAAAAAAAAAAAAGGCGGGGGGAGGGGGTGATTCAGGAAGAGCATTTATTTAATTAGCAAACTCAATTAGCTGCTTTATAAAAGCACATAATTCTGTATGAATATTTTTTCTCAAAATATGTGTCACTCTCACCTATTAAGAGCAATTGTATTTGTTTACATTATAATATATTCACCAAATAAATGACAATAATTATTAATCAGACATGGGTTTCATTCCCAAAATTTAAACATTATTTTTGTGGATATACCTAAGAAAACCAAGATGTATAAGATGTGTGATGAGAGTCAAAAGGTGGAAAGAGGAAGGGCTGTTTTGATTTATGCAACATAAGCCAAAGGACAAGTGACAGAATTAATAAAAGTATGAGTATGTCTTGTAGTTGAGACCCTTATTAAGTAGCAAGGTCCTTTTACTACTTTAATTTACTAGTAGACTTCTCTTAAAGTTAATTTCATTGTATAGCTAATAGAACTGCAGCAAGATCCTCACGCATCAGCATAACAATGTCTTATGTGACAAGTGTTCTTCAAGACTATATAAGACACAGGCAAACCCCAAAGATGCCAACTCTTGATTGACATACATCTCCACTATGAAAATGGCAGAAATACCATCTCATTTTCACTGTAAATAAAAAGAAAGAACCCTTATTTTGGCCTCTCTTTCTTAGGCAATGAGGGACAAAAGAGAAAAGTATAGAAAAGATCTCTGCCTCTGGGCTGGGGTAGGAGGAGAAGAAAGAGGTTCCCCCAACTGCAGTGAAACAGAGAGATAACATTCTGAAACTAGATGAGAAAGCAATATTAGCAATAGGTTTCAATTGTATTATGGTATAAACAGTATTTTTTTAAGTCAGCTAAGAATTAAATCACCATTTATAGCATTGCTTCAGTAGGCAAAGGCATTTTTACTTCCAAACAATTGACAATGCACTCAGTCATCCAACTGTTATTGGATGCCATTATACTCTATGCACTGGGCTCAACATTGGAAATGCACAGTCTAATCCAGGAGTTACCATCTAGTCTGGGAAACAGGCATTTGAATAAGTTACCATGGAATAGATAATAAAGTATATAATTCATAGGATATTCAATATAATCAGAACACAGAAGAAGGAGTAACTAAAGTGCTTGAGAGAGCTGAATTTTAAAGAGCAAATATACATCCATGTGGGGACAAAGTGGAACATGTCTGGTGGAAGCCAAAGTATGTAAAAACCTAGCACAATCATGGCCTATGGTAGAGACTGGCTGGGTCTGAAGTTGGAAACAATGACCAGGTCCAGCTTGAGAATGGCTTTGTTAGACGTGCCAAATTCTCTAGTCTGAATGTTAATATGTTAAAACTTAATCCCCAGTGTGAAAGTATTAGGAGATGGTACTGTTGGGAGGTGACTAGGTCATGAAAGTAGAGTCCTTATGAATGGGATTAGTGTCCTTATAAGAAAGACTCCAGAGATATTTCTTGCACCATCTGCCATGTGAGGACACAGCAAAAAGACACTGAACCAGGAAGAGGGCCCTCATCAGCTCTTGACCATGCTGGCACCTTGATCTCACACCTTCAGCCTCCAGAACTATAAAAATAAATTACTATTGATTAAGTCATCCAGTATATGGTAATTTTTATTTTTATTTTTTTAGATATGGGGGTGTCACTCTGTCACCCAGGCTGGAGTGCAGTGACCAGATCATAGCTCACTGTAGCCTCAAAGCCCTAGGCTCCAGTGATTTGCCCACCTCATCCTCCGGAGTAACTAGGATTACAGGCACATGCCACCAAAACCGCACCAGTCTCCTATAATAATTTATTATGGCAGCCCAAAGAGACTAAGACATCAAATAACTCGGACTTTATTCTGAAAACAAGGGGAACCCATTAGGTTCATCAGCAGGAGAAGTACATGCTGAGCTTTATGCTTTAGGTAGACTTTCAAAGAAGAAAAGTCTGGTAGCCAAATGATAGATTTCCAGGGCGCTGTGATCAAACCTAATACATACAGCAGATGTATGACTAACTAGTGCTAGCACATAAAACTATTTTTCTTATAAGTTAGAGAACATTCAAAATTATGCCTGTAATAGCAGGACTCTTAGTAACCTTACAATACACATTCCAGGGGTGGAAATTGTCCATAATACACAGATTGGGCTGTGTCACTGCCTGCAGTTAGCTAGTCTACTGATACACCACTACTAGTTGTGATAATTGATTCATTCCTTCAGTAAATATTTCTTGAGTGCCCAGTATCTGCCAGATACTGTGTGGGTGCTGTGGACACAATGGTGAATAAAAGGAATTCTCTAAGTTCACAGAATTCAGAAATATTATGGGTAAATCAGGCTTAATGCAAAATAAAAAGGAAGAAGAGAAAAAGAAGGGAGAGGAAAAAGAAGAGGAGCAGGAGGAGGAGGAGAAAGAGGAAGAGGAAGGAGGAGGAGGAGGAGAAAGAGGAGGAGGGAGTGGAGGAGGAGGGAGTGGAGGAGGAGGAAATGGAAGGAGGAGGAGCAAGTGGAAGGAGGAGGAAGAGATGGAGGAGGAAGAGGAAGAGAAAAAAGGAGGAGGAGGAAGAGGAAGAAGAAAGAGGAGGAAGGAGGAGGAGAAGAAGGAGGAAGCAGAAGCAGAAGAAGCTGAAGCAGAAGCAGAAGAAGCAGAAGCAGAAGAAGAAATAATACATAATTATAAATTATAATGAGCCCTGTGGGGAAGAGCAAACAAATTTAATTTAGATTGAGGACTGCTCAGGGAAAGCCACCCTAAAGTGGTGTAATATAGTCGAGATCAAAAGGATAAGAGCATGGGAAAGGGCAGGAAAGGGCCAATGGAGTCAATGAATGAGGGCCAGAGGGGTGGGCAACAAAAATGAGATGGAGATAAGGGTCAGATTGCAAGGGCCTGTGGAAGACTACGAATAATTAAATGCTTAACTTTCTCACTAAATGTTTCTATTTCTTTGATCTTTGAGTGGCCCATAAGAATATGTCTCAGGTATGAGCATTGCACTCCATGGAAGAAAAACAGATGAGGATCGCTGATACAGAGTGCAGCCTGAAGTGAGATGAACAGGAGGCAATGAACCCAGCCAGGAGGTATTGGAATAAGCAGTGGGAAATGATGACTGAGCCAGTGCTACTGGTGCTGGGGAGGAGCAGTTGGAGCTAAGGCAGAATCTCTGAGTTCGAGTCAATGGAGCTTTTTACTGATCTGATGTAAGTAGCGAAGCAATGGGAAACCACGAAGTATGACTCCAAGGATTTGGTCTTTGTGACCAGTTATGTGACGGTATCATTAAACAAGCGGGAAATCCAGGAGGATAAGGAGGAGAAAATAATGATTTTGATTGGAGGCAGGTTGTCTTCAAAGTATGCATGGAATGTCAAACTGAAAAAGTGAATCTGGAGCTAAAGATAGAGAAGAGAAATGTAATACTTTTGTCAGGGGCTGATAGGTTAGGTAACTGAAGTGTTGTGGGGCAAAGAGGTCACTAAGAGAGAATATTTAAATCAGCAATAGAAAAGGTGGATTATAGAACTCTGAAAAAAATCACCAGGTTTGGAGAAGGAGGAAAGGAGTGATTACATATTTTGAGAAAACTTTTGGAATGAAGTCTAGAGGTAAGTTGAAGACTATGTATAATTTCTTTAAAATGCAAACAAACAAACCTCTGTGAGTGGAAACATTAGGTAACTGCAAAATGTAACACGAAGTAACACTCTCCAGGGAACAATATCTGTTTCAAAAGATGACTGCCCTTTTAATTAAATTGCCATGATTACTTAAGCATCCCATTAAAGGCATGTTATATGCTGAGTATCATTCTGAGACTGTTACTGACTCTGTAGCCATAAAAAATTAAGTTCTGAAAATTTTTATTATTACTGTTTCAGAAGAAGCAAACAAGCAATCCAAACATAGTTTAGTCTGAATTCATTGATTTATTTATTCACGATGGACCTATTAAACACTTTTGTTTGTAAAGAGCTGAGTTCGCTGAGTTGAATTTTAACATAGCTTAAATCCATTTCACTTTTTACTATTCCCATACCACACCTCATATCTTTCAACCTGGTCAGTTTGTATTTTCCTGGAAAGAGGCACTGGAGTATTACTCTATTAAGCTGAACAAATGCTTGTAGAGAACCTGTTCCACATGGCACTGTGCTGTTTGGTGCCTGTAGATATTTTTTTAAAGTGTAGATTGATTATTTATCAAATGATTATAGTTAGAAGACTGGGATTATTTCCCGAACCCTGATACCCATTCACACTTTCTTTCTTCATATCAGTCAAAAAGTCAGACAGCTAATCTATTCGTAAGCACTCATGGTCTACTATGTTTCAGGAGTTACAGACAAAGACTGCCAGTCCTCAGCAGTTATGATATAATTGAATGACAATACGTACACATAAGAAACGTCAGACAAGGGTGTAAATTAGGTAACACAGATAACAGCATAAGATATACCACAGTTCAGTCATAAATGACAAATAGGTCATCCCCTAAAACAGTCCTATGACTTCATAAGAGGAAGGGGTCATTACCTACTGTTAGAATTTGGTTTTAAAAATCCAATGAAATTCAAAGATTCAGATCTCATCAAAGATACATTTTCCATACAATACTCCACATCCATTGCTTGACTTTTTAAAGATACTCTGTTTTAATTTAAATTCTTGGGGTGGGTGGGTGGAAGAGAAGTTGCCCTTCATCAAATAATTGATCCACCACATCTACTCTTCCATGTCTCACTCTGAAAGATTACTAATTGTGTACAATTCAAGGGACATTAACTTCCCTATTCTGCAGGGGGGTTCCTGTTCTGTCATTTTTAAAGCTTAGTACTTACAGGGAAAATGTTCTATTAAGGAATTTATAATTGGCTGTTTTCTAAAATTTCCTGGCTAGTTTCCTTGAAGCCTATGTATTTTTTTCCTTCTGGTTACTTAACAATAATTTAAAGATCATTTATTGAATTTAACACTTC